GCTTCCACGCTCTACAGGTATGGCAGACACTCGCGAGGGAAGTCATTTGTAATCCAAGAGTCTTCGCCGGGAATTGCTGGTCGTGGTTAATAGAATTATGCTTAAAGTTTAGCATCGTATTCAAGGAAGTTAAGGTTTACCTCTAGTCATATTTCTTCTGATGCTAGGTTTCCCTAAGTTTCACTTTATTATGTCTTCTAATGCAGCCTGTCCTTATTTATCATGTATTTTGACGCATGCATTTGTTGAAGGACATATCCCTGTGGATAATTCAAATCTGATCTGCAGGTGCACCGAGTGTGGAAATCTCGTGACTCGAGGTGTAGAGCGACTGGTAGCTTGCATGCCAGCTAATACCTGCATCACCACCACAGGACAAGTCTACTATACACATTCAAGGTGCGATGTTATAACATGGTCCTTTAATGAAATCTAAATGGAAAATCTTTATATCCTAATAAACTGTCATGGTTAAGAGATACAAGTTTCCTATCCCTAGTAAATAAACAGTATATAACTATAAATTAGGGTGATATATTATTGACAACAATGCAACTTTTACCTGTCCACGAAAAGGGACGCGACTTGGAGCCTGACTGAACATGTGCGTCAACTGAAGACCGACCTGAAAACCTGGAGACTAGCCTACTGGCGGCTATGGGGTCAGGTGGGTATGGTGTGTGTGTGTATGTGTGTGTGTGTGTGTGTGTGTGTGTGTGTGTGTGTGTGTGTGTGTGTGTGTGTGTGTGTGTGTGTGTGTGTGTACATATATGTATTGTATATACATACATATACAATATATATATATATATATATATATATATATATATATATATATATATATATATATATATATATATATATATACACACATATATGTGTGTATATATATATATATATATATATATATATATATATATATATATATATATATATATATATATATATGTGTGTGTGTGTGTGTGTGTGTGTGTGTGTGTGTGTGTGTGTGTGTGTGTGCGTCTGTGTATATGTGTGTATGTGTGTGTGTGTGTGTGTGTGTGTGTGTGTGTGTGTGTGTGTGTGTGTGTGTGTGTGTGTGTGTGTGTGTGTGTTAATATACGGAAATCTGTCCAAAGGTATCAGTGTATAGCTAAATCCCCACAAACGCCTCTTTATTCTTTTTAAGATATTTAATTGTGCACATCAGAATTTTATAGCCGTCCGAGTACGCTTCCTGCCCTGTCCCAAGCCTCAAGACATGATCATTATTCGCATTAAAGTGTTCAATTATACCATTAAGAGAATTTCATTTCAGGTGTGTTCCGAGCTGTATAACCAGGTGTCAAGAGACACTTACTTATTTTTCTGAAAACATTTAGTTCTAACCATCAAAAGTTTTTCATAAACCTGTTCAGGTACACTTCCTACCGTGTTCCACTTGCGGCGCGGTGTTTCCGGGAAGTGAAATGAAGTTCTGTCGCCACCACCGCCTCGACGCCGCTTCCTCCGACGTGGATCTGCTCCTTGCTAGTGACACGTACCCTTGCTGTGGCGCCCGTGCCCTCAAGTTCTCCCCTCTGCCCGTGAGGAATGTACGTGCGAAAGGACACCGTCTCGTGGTTAACTTATTGTCATATCTGTTTTCTTTTTTACTTCTGATTCTCTTTAGTCATTTTTGCGGTTGAATTGCCTTACGGTACAAGTGAAAGGTACCTCATCTGAGTCTTCTTTCGTTATCCAGGGCTGCCTCACATCTGACCACACAGTGCAACTCAGCCAGGGCGAAAGTGACATATGGGGTCCTATTCCTCTTATCTATGACGACCTCCTCACGTTCCAGCTCCTCGTGTGCATCGACCCTCCCTATCAACTCACCCCTGAATCCAAGGTGAAGCATCTTGTTTCTATTAGATATATACGTTTTTTTGGTGATTTAGATCTGGATGTTCTTTGTGAATTGGAACTATGTGTTCTTTATGATTGTATTCTGGTGATTGAATAATGTATTGTGTGATTCAAGGATTATGATAGTTGCTTTGGGTGTGTTTCAGAATGTGTTGTGGACGGGGGTGCCTCTTGTGCCATCTAACAAGGCTGAGCGGAGCTTCCTTGACCGCTCATGGCTAGCACACTTTTCTCATAGTGAGTTTCCCATCTTTTCACCACCTTTTAGAATTAATTCCCCTGATGACTTAAAAAATGTCATCTGAGTGCCAGAGTGCCTTAGCATGTTCCCGAAGGAATGCCTCCACAAGAATATCATAGAAGCACTCTCACTGGTGTCAAATGCGCCTTACAGGTGAGCGGGACAGCCATGCCGCCGCACGCCCCGGACTACCAGAGAACACTGCTGCTGCTGCCACGACGAATATTAACTTGGGCGTAGGCACGGGCGTGAGCAGTGAGAGTTCTTCGGACGAGGAGGAGGGCGGAGGGCGGCCCGGACTCACGCCCAGATTAAGAGCCAACCTCATGCGGAGGGCGAACCGCGCTCGCCGTTCTGTCAACTGCGAGTATG